TAGGCAGCAGGGGCAAAGGTGGGGGCTTGTTGCAGGGGGGAGGGAGTCAGTCAAAAGGGGGGGTACGTGCACCCACGTGCGCTTGCAACAAAAAAGAAAGCCCATTTTTTCCCTTCATCTGATAAAGAAAACAGTAGTACAATTACATACAAGAAGTTGTAACTGGATCATTTACCGTTTTCTTAGCAATTCGCCATTCACCATCTTCAATGCTGTGGTACTGGATTAGAGTATTTTTCAGCTTTGTTGCCAGAGAAGCTGCATCTGGAAGGATTTCCATTCTTTTTTCTCCTGTATAGAAATTTACCATTTAAGTTCAAGATCAGCCATTAAGAGAGTTTAGTTTCTCTGAGTTAATCACTGTCTGACATGTGGAACCAACAGTTTAAGGGCAGGAATGCTCAGGAACACTAAACTGAATTAAAGGATTAAGCTAAAGTGAACTAAGGCCACCTCTGCCTGAGTGTCCACATACGTGTACACTGCATTTTAAGTTATCAAGGGGTAGCCGTGTTAGTCTGTATCCACAAAAACAACAAGGAGTCCGGTGGCACCTTAAAGATTAACAGATTTATTTGGGCATAAACTTTCGTGGGTAAAAAACCTCACTTCTTCAGATGCATGGAGTGAAAATTACAGATGCAGGCATTATATAATGACACACGAAGAGAAGGGTGTTACCTCACCGTGTTGACAGGGCCAATTCAATCAGGGTGGATGTAGTCCACTCCCAATAATAGATGAGGAGGTGTCAATTCCAGGAGAGGCAAAGCTGCTTTTGTAGTGAGTCAGCCACTCCCAGTCCCTATTCAAGCTCAAATTAATGGTGTTAAATTTGCAAATGAAAAAATGAAAAGAACATTTGCAAAATTAATGTGATGAAGGCCAACAAATGTCATTACTTTAGCCACTCTCATACACACATGTATATTATACACCGGCACCACACACATGCTTAAGTATGGCTCAGGAGCTGCTGTAAATATAAATTAATGGTGATCACCCACAGTATACGTGTCTAGTGCAGAAAAGCCCTACACAATAATACCTAACGGAAAAAGCAGATTTTGTGGAATTTCAAGACTGACAATTAAGACAACTACTATTTTATAGATACTAAACAGACATGGGAAGCTAGGCCTATAAACTAGGATTCTTTTAGTAAATTGGTGAAGGCTATATTTAAAAGCAAATGGACAAATCCACAAAGGGGATGTGAGCTTAGCATTGCAGCACCTAACTTTAGGCAACTTGCCACCCAGTAGAATCCACAGCCTAAGTTAGGTGTCCACGCTCCCTATGCAACATATGGGGGAGAACTAGGCCCTAAGAATGGAAATTCAGAAAAGCCAGCAAGCTGAGCAGGGAGCTGCCTAAACTAGCCAGTAGGAAGTGCTCGGGCAAGGAATTTAAATACCTAACTCAGAGGCTGCAGGACTCAATCATGAACCCTCTCCTGGAGATAGGCACCAGTGGTAACAGCACTCACCTAGGAGGTAGGAGACCTGAGTTCAAATCCCTGCTCTGACTCAGGCAGAGTGGAGATTTGAACCTGGATCTCCTCCATCTTGGGTGAGTGCTCTAACTACTGGGTATAAATGGAACACTATATTGCCAGTGTTTTATTGTGATTAGGTGTTCTCCAAGAATGCCTACCAAATTGGGTCCCACAGGCAAGACAAGCAGGGGAACATGTAGTTCAAGGATCCCACTGAGGTTGAGGGATAAGCTAGATGCTGAGGCAGCTTTGTGCATACCCACCAGCAGAAATTTAGGATTTTACCAGCAGAAATTTAAGCATACAAGGGCCTTTAGGGTTAGATGGCAGCTGAGCAAGTCTTTTGAGGATGGACATTTTGGACCTAAGCACCTAAAGTGATAAGGCACCTCAATCCCTCTGTGGATGTAGCCCATAGCTAATAAAATTAGTTAATTCTTGCATTTGAAATTAAACATTTGACAATTAATCTTTATTTAAAAAAAAAGAGATCCCATTCCTAAGTAAAATACAACTACAATCTACAAAACTACAGCCATTCAGAGAAGATCTGCTCTATTCTTCTTACATCAAGGATTGCTGTAAAAATGGGGGAGAGGGGAACTTAAGTCCACAGTAAGTTATCAGTAGCATTTTAGATTAATTTAAGTTTTTAAAATTAAGTGAGGTTAGCCATTTACTTGCTTAAACATGGAGCCCTAGTGCTTTGTGCAATCCCATTGAAATCAGTGGGAAACCCAATGGTAGGACCCAACCCTGTCATTGCAAATGAACTATCGGCTTGGGCTATGAAAGCAGAGAGATCAGTTTAATTTCTCTTTGCTATCTGGCTAGTTTCTTTCTACTATTCATGCACTATCACAATGCTCTGTTTGGGTTCAATATCCTGCAGTGGAATATTTTTCTAATTGATTTGTTTTTTAGTATAATTAATGGGAAAATTGATTCATATTAGGTTGTTTTTAAAATACAACTCTTAGGTTTAAACTGATTTGTCTTGAGTAGGGTGCGCATGGAAATAGCAAGGGATTTTCCCTCCCTTCCTCAAATTCTTGAGCAGGGAGTCAGTTGTAAACAAGATAGAAACCAGAGGTACTACTCCCAAATTAGTTCCAGTGGTGGCACTAATTTTCTTCAGGAGACCAAAACACTCCAACTAACCTTACAAATGGTGGCAGACCTGCCCATTCAGTAAGCTTGCCCTAGAGAAATTTTAGCTGAGTAAGCCAGAAATCTCACAGGGCTCCTACTGCTCCACACTTCACAATCTTAATACAACACTTCCCCCTAAACTAACTGTCTAATTTACATAGCTCTCAATGCAGCCAGAGAAGCAGCCTACAGTCAAGAGAACTTTTATCACTGCAATTTTGTAAGCTTTTTTTTTAATAAGACAACTAAAATTAACCAGACAGAAGGGAAATAAATACTGCATCATACCTGCATCCTCCACCATCACCCTTCACAAAAAACCCCTCACAGTACTCTCCCATTTCTAAAAGACCACAAAAATAAATGGGTTTTGCAATAGTCTATCAGACCAATAGATGCAGACTACTTAAATCAAAGATAGGGAGTTTAGTTCCAAGGATGGCATATTAAGACATCTTGTTATTACTTATAAGCAATTACTATTAACAAATACCATGTCACTACCATATGTATGTCTCTCTCATGAACAGAAGTTGATCCAATAAAAGATAACTCACCCACCGTGGTTCGCTACTATGCACTGAATGACATCCAGAGAACATACAAAAGATCAATGTTTTACTATCCCAAAGAATAGATTAAATACTGCTCACTGTATATACCACAGCATCATTAAGAGGAAATTAGAAACATTTCCAATTAATGAACTCAAGTTTAAGCATCACTAAAGGGGGTGGGGGGAAATAGCACTGAAGTAAACTTATACAACGCTATTAGTTAACCCAGTAAGCGAGGGCTGGGCCCACTTTGTCCCGGCTGTTAATGAGGGAGATGTGACCGCTACACGATATGCTCGCCCCCGGGGCAGAGCCTGGACGGGACACGGGCAGAGGCTGCGCTCAGCCCCTGGGGAGCGCACACAGCACTGGGGCAGACGTCTCTGTACAGCGGCCGCCTCAGCAGCCGGTAGTTGACGTGCGCTAATTGGTGCGGGGCAGGGTAGGGTTATCCGGGTCCCAGCTAGAAGCGGGCAAAGGGCCGGGCTCCAGCGGCTGCCCGACGCGGGGCGCTGAGCCCGGATCCCCTTAGCCCGGGCCCGCCCGGGCACCCCCCGCCGTCCTCCCCTAGAGCTCTGCCGCTTCGGCTCCCCGGGCGGGCACGGACCGTGCGGCTGGCTCCCGTCCTGCCGAGCAGCCCCACCACGCAGCATCTCCGTGCCCAGGCCCGGGTTCCCGAGCGGCAGGCGGCGGCTCCGGACTTTGCCCTGGAGCCGGTGCCCCCTGGCAGGGCCCTAGCCCCAGAGCCTCCCCCCGTTCCCACTCGGGGGCCCCGCGCAGGCTGCGGGAGGGCCGCCCCTTACTCACCTGGGCCCCGTGGGCAGGGGGCTGCCGCGCTCCCCGCCTGGCACCACACCGCCGCGATGGTGCCAGCTGTGCCTGAGCCTTCTCAGCCCGCAAAGCAGCCGACGCCGGCAGCCAATGAGCGCGCAGCCGGCTTCCCCGGCGCAGCCAATCACAGGGCGGACCGGCCCGTCTCATTTCGCTGGCCTGAGCTGATGAAGCCGCGGAATTGGGACCTGCACTTCCTCCCTTTCGGCTAGGGGGGATGGGCGGAGTCTCCGATGCACGCAACCTACCTTCCACTGACATAAGAGAGACCTCATTGGCTGAGATGGTGGCAGGTGGGGACTTCTGATTGGTGGCTGCTGCTAGGCACAGTGCAGTGATTGGCCAGAGGGAGTGGACTGATGGGGTTGGGTAGGGCTGAAGAGTATAAATGGGTGGCTGGGTATTCAGGGTGGTTTCTGTACCCAGCATCCTGACAGTGATAGTGGTGTACAGTGCTGTCTGGAGGGCTTGTGGCTGAATGGGGGGGCAGGACAAGGTGTGGCTGAGGGGGCTTTGGCTGCTCAGTGGGTTTGACCCCCTCTTCTAGGGCAGTCCCCTATCCCAGTCTGGGCCTGGTTGTTTGTTTGTATGCGCCTAGGGTTTCTCGGAGGCTTAATTAAGGCCTCAGCCAGCCACCTCCAGGCACAGAACAACATGGGATCTGGTTGTCTCACAGCTTTTCAGTCTCTGTGGTAGACACACCAGGCAAAGGCTATGCTTTGATCCCATTAGGGACACCTTGAGGCAAGAGAGGCTAGTGGACAACAATTTTTTTTCTTTTCTTTGGGTTCCTCTTGAAACCGTGTCCCCCCTTCCCCCTGCTGCTAGGGGACTTAATATTTATCAACATGTTACATACACAAGTCAACTTCTTTCACCTCAAGCAATCAAATGCACCAAATAGAGTCTGATCACAGATACATTGTCCCTTTTGCAAACTTGCAGATCAGAGTGAGCTGGCCCAGGGCTTTGATAGCAATATGGCCAGCGTGGATCTCACCTGTGCAGGATTACTTTAAGGACCTTGCTAGCTCAAGAAAATTAACAAAGGTATTCCATAACTTTAGAGAAAAATCTGCACAATGGGATCTGACTACGTCTGTATCAGCCAGGCAACCTACCAACATCTGTCAGTTTCCTGGTGACAGGCACCCATAACTTGTAAGCAAATCGATCAATAGGCAGATTGCAATGCCAGTGTATTTTTGACACAAAAAAGTGTGTTACATGTTTTTTTTAAAAATGAGTATCCATAGTATTTTGTTATATTAATTTAGCTTGCTCTGTTAAAACTTCTGAGGTAATTTTACCCACACCAAACTTGAAGTGTTAATATTCCTCGGTTGAAATCTGATATGGTGTGATATAATGGAGGTTTATTAATTCTCTTGATAAAAGAATATGTCTTCTGCTTACTATTCAGTTTGTTGGATTCCCTTCTGCTCTTGGAGGCTCAGCTATGGTCTAGCCTGCTATTTTATATATACTGGGTAAAGAACAAATGACTTGTTTTCTTTCTGATGCAGAACTGGCTAGTATCTCTGCCTTTGTCAACTCACGATTAGACTAATGGAATTCTCTGTACACGGCCTTAAAGCACTCGGAAACTTAAGTTAGTGCAGAGTGCAACCCCCCTGCTTATTAAATGGTGATTCACAAAGAGAGCGAGTCATACTGCTGCAGTTGTGATTGGCAATGTGACTCAAGCTAAAAAGAGGGGACTGGTAGCAGATGATTTTCTTAAAGGGGATCCTCAAATCTGGAATTTGTCACTGCTCGTCTTCCCACTTCTTCAGTCCAACTGAACCTGATTTTGATAACCTTCAAGGCAAAGCCCTTTTTGAGGGGTGGTGTGAGTGTGTTGTGTGATATTCTGTAGTATAGTTTGAGAGCTAGCAGTGCCTTGGATGAACAAGTCATTATCGGTTTAAATTTTTAGCCTTGGTCTCATATATGGTACCTGACCACCACTGCAGAATTACAGTATGCCGTTTTCCTTCAGGGGTCTGAGAGTATACTCTGTGTACCATGAACTTGGAGGCAAACACTGCAGGTACTCCAAGCACTAGGTTCTACAGGCTGTAAACTTCAGTGGGTTCTGATAAACACTCACGCTGAGTAACAGAGGATTGCTTTGGTACGGCAGATAAAATAGAGGATGCACATACCCTAGATACAATTGCTTTTACCAGTTACATGAACTGAGGAAAACAGTTCCTAACCTAACTCCTAAGAGGTATAATAAGTATAGGGGTATAATAAGAGAGTCTTGGTGTAACTCTCACACACCTCTTCCTGTACCCTGCTACCTTGTATTCTCCTGCAGCAGCAACTGCTAGCCCTCTGCTAGCAACAACGGCCCAAATCCACAAGGGTCTTAGGTATTGCAATGCTGCATGTTGCAGTACCTAACATTTAGGCACCTTGCCCCTCAGTGATATCTATAAACCCTGAGTTAGGCACCTAGGCTCCCTATACAAAGCATGGGGAATGATAAGCACCTATGACCAGGACCCACAAAAGCCAGCACTCTTGTCAGGGAACTGCCTAAACTAGCCCATAGCAGATGAGGAGGAATATGGTGGTGATGTCCTAATAGTATTGGTGAAAGAACCGAACCTTGAGGAAGACTGTTGATCTGACACTTCCAAGAACTGCAATGGTCGCCCATGTGTCCTCTGAACCGCCTGTTTTAGAGGAAAAGCTCTACTATTTGACCACCTAATGCAGGGCAACTCAAGAGAATTACACAAAAGGCCTGTGTGCCAAACTGTGTCATAAGTGGTGGACAAATCCAGGAAGATGGTTCCTGTCTTCAAATTTTGTTGAAAACTATTTCAATAAAGATGGTCAAGGCTAAAATTTGATCCTTTTCTTAACTCTGCCTGCTTAACCTGCAAAACATCATCCAACTCTGGACAAGTTGTAAGATATATATGTATCTTAGGAAGGAATTGGGCCTGTGATTCTATTGTTAGATATTATATAATAAAATATGGTATGACTGGCCCTGTAATGATGGCTTGGAACTTTTTAACATAATGAACATATTTGTTCGTTCCTTAATAAAATCTTCTAGATCCTGACTGATTCAGCAACCACTTCTTAATTTTCACAAAGCATTAGATGAATGTTTAATTTTTTTTTAAATCCCTAAAATTGGTAAATGACTTTGATATGAAGAAATGACTCAGATTCACTAAAAAGGAGACAGTTTAATCTAACAGTTTGGCTTGTGGCTAGTTCGGTATTAAATATGAAGTGTTTCCATAGAAATATCCCCTATGTAAATGTATTAAAATACTTTAATTCATTAAAGTGCTTCCCATAAATTAAAAATGGAGAGGGTGCATAAGAGAATGAAAAAAATATTCAAGGGCTGAAGAAAATGCCTTACAGTGAGTGTTTTAAAGCAGTGGTTCTCAACCAGGTGACCAGGGCCCCCTGGGGGGCCGCGAGCAAGTTTCAGGGGGTCCGCCAGAGAGCAGGCCGGCATTAGACTTGCTGGCGCCCAAGGCAGAAAGCTGGCAGTTGCCCCAGGCAGTTGCCCTGCTTGCTACCCTCTAATGCTGGCTCTGGTTTTTAATCTACTGAATATGCAGAAAAACAGTTGTGGCACAGGTGGGCCTTGGAGTTTCTATAGCATGTGGAGGGGGGAGCCTCAGAAAGAAAAAGGTTGAGAAACCCTATTTTAAAGAGCTCAAGCCATTTAATATATCTAAAAAGATTGAGAGATGAGTTGATTACAGTGTCTAAGTACCTTCATGGGAAGAAAATACTGGTGTCTTTAATCTAGTGGAGAAAGGTGTAGCAAGAACCAATGGCTGGAGCTGGAACCAGACCAAAGCCCTGAGATAAGTGGGGAAGTGAGATACAAGGAGGAAGCATGAGCAGGAGAGCGCAAGAGGGGAGGACTCCTGTCTCATACTGAGAAAGCAGGATGATCAGCGAGTTATCTTAAGTGCCTGTACACAAATGCAAGAAGCCTGGGAAATAAGCAGGGAGGACTGGAAGTCCTGGCACAGTCATGGAATTATGATGTGATTGGAATAACAGAGACTTGGTGGGATAACTTACATGACTGGAATACTTGTCATGGATAGATATAAACAGTTCAGGAAGGACAGGCAGGGCCGAAAAGGTGGGGGAGTTGCATTGTATGTAAGAGAGCAGTATGACTGCTCAGAGCTCCAGTATGAAACTACAGAAAAGTCTGAGAGTCTCTGGATTAAGTTTAGAAGTGTGAGCATCAAGGGTCATGTTGTGGTGGGACTCTGCTATAGACCACCTGACCGGGGGATGAAGTGGACGATACTTTCTTCAGCCAACTAACAGAAGTTACTAGATCACAGGCCCTGGTTCTCATGGGGGACTTTAATCACCCTGATATCTGCTGGGAGAGCAATACAGCGGTGCACAGAGAATCCAGGAAGTTTTTGGAAAGTGTAGGAGACAATTTCCTGGTGCAAGTGCTGGAGGAACCAACTAGAGGCACAGCTTTTCTTGACCTGCTGCTCACAAAGAGGGAAAAATTAGTAGGGGAAGCAAAAGTGGATGGGAACCTGGGAGGCAGTAACCATGAGATGGCTGAGTTCAGGATCCTGACAAAAGGAAGAAAGGAGAGTAGCAGAATATGGAGCCTGGACTTCAGAAAAGCAGACTTTGACTCCCTCAGGGAACTGATGGGCAGGATCTCCTGGGAGAATAACATGAGGGGGAAAGGAGTCCAGGAGAGCTGGCTGTACTTTAAAGAATCCTTATTGAGGTTGCAGGAACAAACCATTCCAATGTGTAGAAAGAATAGTATATATGGCAGGCAACCAGCTTGGCTTAACAGTGAAATCCTTGCTGATCTTAAACACAAAAAAAGAAGATTACAAGAAGTG